CCCCCCAAATTCATATATTGAAAACGAATTCCCAATTTGGAGGTAGGGTCTCTGGGAAGTGACTAAGTCATGAGGGTGAGGTTTTCATGATTGGAATTAGTGCTCTTATAAAAGTGGCCCCAGAATGCTCCTTCATCCCTTCTGCCTTGTGAGGGCACAGACTTAGGTGGCAACGCTGCTCCTTCCCGCCAAGACCTGGCTGGGCGGGGTGGGGGAGATGCTGGTGCGCTGCTCCTCTGTGCTCAGGTCTCTCCCACACTGGAAGACAGTCCTCAGTTGCTGATTTTAATCTTCAGGGATCTCACTTCAGCTGTTCTGATCCCTGAAATAACTTCCTAGGCCTCAGAATGGCTGACTGAGACCAGGCATTTCATTGGGCATTGTGGACAAAACACATCCTTCTGCAGAGTGAGGGGCAGGTGAACCACAGCTTTTCAAGTGGAAGGTGTGAGGACCAGGAAGTGGAAGAGAATCTGCCTGATCTAGAAACTAACCCATCAGGTTTCACTGGCCACAGGGCAGGAAGCCAAACAAGTTGACCAAAGCAAGGGTGGGCCTGGGCATGGGGCCCGCTATTGTCACAGAGGATCTCTATGTGCTGACCCACCAGGTGCTATCCCGATGAGCTGATGCCACCAGTTCCCCTTCCTTTTCCTGCCCCAGCCAGGGGGTCTGAGGCCCCACTGCCCCTCCCCACCCCATGCCGAGGGTCTGCCTGGTGCTCACACAGCTCTGCAGACAGGGAAGGGTTTCTGCCAAGAGGTCACTGCAAGTGAGCCTCTGGCTGCTACCTGTGGGGAACCAGGCTTCAACATCTATTCCCAGAGCTACCGGATTTCCTGTCTGTAACTTCCCCATGCCCCGTCTGATGTGGTCTCGGCCCTCTTCCCATCCAGCTCTCCACCTCCAAACATACTTCTGTTTGCTGACCTGAGCAGTCTAGGAAACGGACGTTTGTTTTTTAAAAAAACAGCTTTTGAACATCTAAAACGGTGGGGGGTAGGGAGAGCAAAGAAGCCTGGAAATGGAAAAGATTCCCCCTCTCCCAGGGCAAAAGGAACGATAGCAATCAATTTCTGGGACTGATTTGGTGAAAATGTCATGAATTCCCCTACAAATCAGGTGGGAACTGTGACACCTGGCTATGGACTAGGGTTCAGATCTGTTGGGATCAGGAAGGTCACAGGGTGTGGAGCCCCTGCTGGCACAGAGGCAGAGCCCAGGAAGACAGAGAAATTTAGAGTTAGCTCAGGTCGGGGTGGGCTGCCATCCAAATAAGGAACCAGGGGTTCATCAGGGGAGCCAGGCCAGAGCTCTTAAGAGGCTCCAGAATTGAAGAGGTAAGAGAGTCTGGAAAGCTGCCCTCAGTCCTACCTACAGGTAATTTTGGGGCACCTCTCTAGTCCGGCTGGGGAGCTGTTTAGGGTCCATATAACAAGCCCATAGGATAGATAAGCTGGGGTGTTTTTAAGGCACATTTTAGAGCTGAGAAAGTTAAGAAGGAGAGGTTGACCAGCAGTCTTCTGACGTTCCTTCCACGTCCCTGTGCCTATTACCCAGGGCCTGGGGGCTGCAGCAGACCCTTAGAATAGGTCAGGTCATCCCACTGCCCTTCCTTTACCTCAGTGTTAATCCCTTACCCTGTGTCAGAGGTGGCACCCAATGCCTTACATATACCCTGTCCTCTAATCATCACAATGGCTATGCGAAACAGGTTCTATTTTTATGTTTGTTTGTTTTAGAGATGATGAAACCCAGTTCCATAGAAATTAGGTAACCTGCTGAAGGTCACTCAACTAGGAGGTGGCAGAATTATGATATCCACCCACTTCTGACAGGCTCCCAAGACTGTGCTCTTGACCATGGGTGTCTGTGAGTCTGTATTTGAAGCCTTTGGAAACCCACATAATCCCTGATAAAGGAAGGACAGGTGTAAACTACCTTCCTCTGAGTTCCATGGTTCTTAAGGCCAAAAGTGATGCTTAGCTGCACTAGGCACCGCTCAGGCCACAGGGATCAGGTGATGACCCAAACACTCCATCCACTAGCTCCTTCCTTTATGGAGTTAATGAATTGGTGGGTGAGGGAGACAGGTGTTACATTATCTTAGATACTCCAATGTGCCAAGTGCTGTGAAGGAGAAGGGATAAGTGGAGGGAGGGGCTCTCAACCAGTATAAAGCATCACGGGTGGGCTTCTTGGAAGAAGTGGTATTTCAGGTGAGTTGTAAAGATGGAGGGTTTCTCAACCTCAGCTATAAACATTTTAGGCTGGACAATTTTTTGTTATGGGGGATGTCCTGTGCATTGTAGGATGTTTAGCAACATCCCTGGCTTCTACCCACTAGATGCCAGTGTGACAACCAAAAAAAACGGTCTACAGATATGGCCAAATGTTTCCTAGGGGGTAAAATCACCCATTTGAGAACCACTGGATGTAGGTGGAAGGGAGAAAAAGCTTTCAAGAGAAGCTGGAAAAGCAAGATAAAACCAGAGCTCAGGAACTCACACAATTTCCATAGTGGTGCAGCCACTATGGAAAGCAGTATGGAGTTCCCTCAAAAAATTAAAAATGGAACTGCCATTTGACCCAGTGATCCCACTTCTAGGAATATATCCTAAGGAACCCAAAACACCAATCAGAAAGAACTTACGCATCCCTGTGTTCATAGCAGCGCAATTCACAATAGCTAAGATCTGGAAACAGCCCAAGTGCCCATCAGTAGATGAGTGGATAAAAAAAGCTGTGGGACATTCACACCATGGAACACTACGCAGCTGTAAAGAGGAAGGATCTTTTATCCTTTGGGACAGCATGAAGGGAACTAGAAGGTATTATGCTGAGTGAAATAAGCCAGTGAGAGAAAGACAAGTACCACATGACCTCACTTATATGTGGAATGTAATAAACAAAATAAACTGATGAACAAAATGGATCCAGAGACATAAAAGCATGGAACAGACTGAGGGATCTCAGAGGGAAGGTGGGGAGGGGATGGGGAGAGATTAATCAAAGAACTTATATGTTTATAAGCATAACCCATGGACACAGACATTGGTATGGGGAAAGCCTGGAAGTCGGATGGATGCGAGGTGGAGGGAATCAATGGGGGTAAAAAGGGGGACATCTGTAATATTTTCAACAATAAAGATAAAGAAACTTAAAAACAACAAAACACCACCACCCCCAGAGCACAGACTCTTAGGGTCCTGCTGAGAATCTGGGACTTTATTACTAGGGCAGGAGTGGATCTGGAGGGTAAAATGATGGTGACTAGGTTGACTCAAGTGGAGGCAGGAGAAAGGGATTAATTTTAAGTGGCATTCAGGAGATAGAAGTGATAAGCATAGGGAACCCCTGAAATGTTTTCTCTCTGTTGTGACATTTGTGGGGGTAGAGAGCTTCATCCAGGACTCGCTGTGGCCTTACCAACAGTCCAGGACTGCTCATCCTCACTGTTGTAACCTGGTCTCTGTTCGAATTAAAGTCTGTAATACAACAGTCTCTGTGCTCTGCTATACAGTGTCAATCAATGTTTTAAAGAGTAATGGGATGGGAATCAGAAGAGCTGGATTCTAGCCCCACCTTTGCCACTAGCCAGCATTAGAAAAATCACTTTCTCTTTCTGGGCCTCAGTTTCCTATCTATAAAACGAGGGGCCTGCACGTCACTGAATAATTTCTACATCCATTTCGATCTAACAGCCTATGAATACAACAAGGTTCACCACTTAATAGAAGGATGAAATTGTTCCACCGGTTCCTTCGAAAGAAACTCCGTTCTCCCTCTTGCTTATGGGGAATCTTCTGCTGGGAATGAGAATCAGAACTGGTAGAAC